TTAAATAAATCTGTATTTCATCTACCAAAAAAATAGATATAATTGTGCTTATTGTTAGTTGTAACCACTGCACATTTTGTAAAGTGTTAGCTGAATTTTGTTGAATGAAATGTGACCGATGTGATCTTGCGAGAGGCTTGCCAGTGTTCTGGCAATAGCGAAATTTGAAGTTATAACACTGTTGCGACACCGGTAAACGAAAGGCGGAAAATCAGCATCTGCAAATTTTTTCAGTTGTTTGTATTACATTCTTGTCTTTCCGTGTCCTTTTAACTCTGGGGCGTGTATTATGCCTCAAGCTCAATGAATTATTCGATTAACAAATAATCTTTTTTTTTGCGGTTTTTCGCTTTTATTTTTGCTCTGGTTTTTTATCCATCTGTCGAATTTAACATTAAGTGGCTATTGTGTATTTCGGCAATACTGAAACCAGTAATTTCTTGAATATGCAAACCTAGCAGCTGCCGTGGCCCATTACAAATTACATCATGCTAACGCGACGCTTTTGTGGCTTGACTACCTAGTGCCTTAGTCCAAGGGCAATACCATGATCAAAGAGCTGGTTTTGCACTCAATGGTTTTCGCCGCACATAAATCTTGCCGTTTGTTCACTCGACCGTAGAATTACACAAGGAAGGAAGGTCAGAGGTTAAAGTAATCGCTGATTGTCGCTAGTTACTGCGATATCCGTCTTTCTTTCCTCATCGCGATAGCTATAATATCTAAGGGATTTCAAACGAAGCGAACACTTTTCTACATTATAAAAAATAAATTTTTTGATGCATTATAAAGCAGAAAATATTTTTTAATATAAAAAAAAATCAATGTCTAAGAATTACTTTCTTTGTTAAAGGTGGATACGCGATTATTTTTTTTCTGAGCGGGAAATAGCTTTTAACATTTCACATGTCAAACAGTATTAAAATATATCAATATATAAGGTGCTTAACATTTTTTAAAAATATATTAAGATTTTAAATTTGTTTTAATTAATTAAAAATAATAAATATTAATGATACAATTGAAGTAACATTTTCTTGTATTATTTATGCATTAGTTTCAAAATAAAATACGGAGCAACATAGTTTTCATAATATTTTTCTCTGAAGGAATAAATAATTATAAAATAAAATATATCATTTTTACAAGAAGAGAGAAAGGGAGAGAATGATAGAAGATGCGTTCTACATATTTCTATATAAAGCGCAGATTAAGTTTCGTTTGTCATGACGTCGAAGAGAGCATTCATTGACCCGAATGGCTTTGGCCTAATTCAAGATGTCTTGTACAGAAAAAGGAGAGATCGATCTTGTTCGAAAATTTGTTACTGGAACACGAAAACTAATCGGACGTTAATGGCCGCCATTTTGTATAGAAAATCAATCTTTTTAAGAAGAGAGAAAACTTTTTCCAAGATAGTACTTAATACATCATACGATGCGTTAAGCTTTCTCGACAGAAATAGCGTAACAGCTTTATTAATGTTATATAAATAATAAGCAGAGAACATCTAAGAGAGAATTTTATAATACATCAAGTAAATTTAAATGTATTTGTGTTTAAACCATATTTTATATTATATTTTTATTTTAACTTAATTTTTTCAATTAAAATCGATAATGTTTATTTAGAACATAAGAAATGAGAATCCAAAGCTTATATATTTTCGAAAGTATCGGTTATTTAGATATTTCCAACATCAATAGTATAATATGAAGCTTTGACGCAGATTATATTGTTGATCGTCTCAGCTTTGACCTAATTTTAGACATCGTTACTTATTGAACGAAAAAAGCACTAAAGAAGCTCAAGAACGGTGGCTGTACAGACACGAAAGAGACTGGATTGGTTGGTTGGTTAATCCCTAAGGGCCTAATCACCAGAACTTGGACGAAAGTTGTTCTTAAGATCGAATGCGATTAAAGTAAACTGAAAGGGATTATTGTTCCATGAAAATCTAGTTAACAAGAGCTTTGTGATTCATAGTGGCTCTTTAGCTTTGACGAAACAATAGATCTCATAATATTTTTATTACAGCCATTTTTGATATTTAAATTTTATTTTTGACTTGTTTTATATATTATACAACTCAATTAATAACTTTAATGATAGTGTTAACAGGTAATCCATTTGGTCTGAGACACTCTGCATATTATTTTGGTAACACTTTTATCTGTCCATTTATCTGTTTGAATATTGAATATATAATTTTTGTGAGATAGATTGAAATAATTTTTGGTTTTATTAATGCGATATAAAACGATAGATTTTGAATGTTTGATTTTTGCAGAACGCTTTTATAAGTTTAAAGTGAGTTAAAATGCAAATTTGTGAGAAAATGAATGAATGTTGTATGTACGATATGAAAGTAGGACTGCACTATAGAAATAATTTGTAATATAATTCAACACTTGAACACAATCATATTAATAGTATACAACTTTCAATTTTTAAGCGCTTTTGTTCGTAAAATTTCTAACTTTTAACAGAATAAAATTATAAAACACATTGAAAAAAATATGAAGACTTAATTGAAATGATTACGAATAAATATTCAATTTTGTTAGTTTTCAGTATTAAATGAAAATTGTCGATAAAACCAACGTTTTGCATAAAAGAATGTATACATGTATTTTCAAAACTTTTGAAATTTATTGAAATCGATTGAAATTTATTTGCGTAAATTTTTCAAGCACTCTTCATGTTTCTTACAACTGGTTTAACGAGGGAGATAAGAATTATTTTGTAGGAAATTAACGTCTTATTAACAACTCGGTAGCTAAAGCAAGATGACTGACCTTATCGCGAAAGTTCTCATTTTACCGAATGAATATCAAAGAATTATCTGATTGTGATTCAGCACGCGGTTGTAATAGCCGTGATACTATTCCTCTTCTCATGAATAAGAAGATGGTTCGTTTATTCATTTAATCCCGACAGAATTATTTATTTGGCATATACAATTATTCAGTCTCATAAGCAAGTTTATTTCCGAGCATTAATCACTAAACAACTATCGCGATTAATTGTCTAAGAAAAATTATGACGGAGAGTTGTTGGAAGGATATAATAAATATTAATTAATATTTATCGCTCCAGAATTGTTCGTAGTTTCTTCCTTTCTTGTTGTAACATCAATTAATTAAAAGTTAAAAGTTTCGTTACACTATAATTATAATATTATAAGCCTGAAAGATGCGTGTGATACATTATCTCTTTTTAAATATTTATTTTTCTCTATTTTAAATATTTTATTTAAACAAGATGTCTTAAAAGTTTTTGCTTTCTACTATCGGAATAGAAGCTACTAGTATTGTGAATTTATCTCGGGGATCCTGTCAATATTTTTATTCATCGTACGCCAATACAGTACACGATGCATTGTCGCTCTCTTGTTACCCGATTTGAAATGGTGTGTATCGCGCGAGAAGCGGGTGTCTCGTAAGAGTTTCCTCGGTCGCGACGTCACGGAGACATCAATATCGAATTTCACGTCTGTCTTAAACCGAACCCGAGATGTTCTCTTGAGTTTCGCGAATACTCAGAGGTCTCGGAGATGCCATTGACGTTTCCCCTCCTCACGCATGTCGCTGTCTAAGATTTTCGTGTCGTATATACGAAGTACATTCTGTTGTTTTTAATATTTAATAAGAAATACATTCTGAAATGTTTTTTTCTAAACTTGACTTAATTTGAAAAAGAAAGTCAGAAGCGAGCAATGTTTTAGCGAATGTTTATGCATACATTTTTGAGATAACTTAGAACAAAGATATTTAAAAAAAAGGAAGAATTTTTTTATTTGATTATTTATGTAAATAAATAATTTTACTTTGCAGGAAAGAAATTTTGACTTTTCCACAAGAGTTACCTTTGGGATTAAATATGCTCTTAATGAAAGATTTGTGATTATCGTAGTACGTAAAGACGCAAATTTCCGAGCATAGATAGATATGTAATGTTTACAAAATTTAAGACATGAATATTACACGCTTTTTCAAGTGTAAATATGGATGGACGAGATAAATTGTTCGTCTCCGCATTGCACGAGACGTTTTGAGGCGAAACCCTAAAGGCTTTTTCGGTAGTGGCACGTTTCAGTCAGGAACTTAATCTGACGAGGAAGAAAATCAAGGAAATGTTTCTTGAGAATACACTCTTAAACATTTCCTCGCAAATTGTTTTTTAACTTTAATGTCTTTCAATTATTTTATGCTTATTCGAACTAATTACAAATGATTTTATTTATGTATTAATTTATATGATAAATCTTACAGGCATCGTTTTTAGTTAAATTTTTTGACAAATTTACAATTGATTTGTTCTTAATAATTCAGTGACAGGTGTTACAATGCTTTAATTTTTATTGTCAAAGGTTGTTAAACTATGTCAAAATACATAAATGTGAATTTTATCGTTCTCATATTTCAGAATTCTTATACAAACTTTCACAAATTACTATTCAATATTTCATGACATGAACATGAAAGAATAGATGTACGATAATCCACCCTTTGCTTGTCGAATTAATGTGATTTGTGCATTTGCCTCCGACTTTAATGACATTTTTTCCTTCGTTGTCGATTTTGATGCTGAAAGACTGGATTTTGTCCGAGCTCGCGAGCTGTGAAATCCGTCGCGGCGAGTCAGACGCGGTGGAAATAACGTTCATTATGCAAACGAATGCTAATGTCAACCAGAATGACAGGCGGGCGGGAACGGAAGAATATTCGCGCAAAGTTCGAACCCTGTAGTTGCCGGCGTCTGCGCTTCATGAGGTGTGCGGACTTGCTCGTCAGTTTGTGGTTCACCGAGAGCGTAACACGAACAATTTTGTCCAGGGGAAGGGAATTGCGATGACGCAAGAGGGAGAGTCTTTTTGATTGTGCGACTCGTCGCATGGAAATGCGATATTTTAACGACGCGAATGTCCTAGTAATATTCTTTCGTGACTGATTTTTTTATGACTCTGTGTCCGTTTCGTTCGAGTCGACGAAGCATATCTATTCGCCTTTCTTTTCCGTCGGATCACCCGGTAAAGTACACCCGACTTGTCTCGCGTACTCCACAATGATGCCTTTGAGCTGTTTTGTCAAGATTACTTGATTCTCAACTCGCCGCATCAACCGATTCTTCTCCGCCTCTAAGTCGCTGAGCTCCTGCATTTTCAGTTGCTCAGCCATGTACGATTTCTCTGCAGCTTTCTGTGCTTCATATATGATTACACTCCACAAAAGTCCAAAGACTAATGCCTGGAATGTCGGGCAGAATTTAGCTCAAAACATTAATATCTCGAGTATATAGAATGCTTTATATTTAGAGTAAAATGTGCGGAGAGTATCACTTTCATAATCGCGATTGTTCTTGTTACCTCGAGTAATAATTTTGTTCCTAGTTCCATTGTGCGACTGTCATCAACGGGCTTTCTTTTTGCTACAGCCGGTATTTTTCGTTGTGTTATCTTGTCTTCGCACCAATAATAGAAACGTCCCAATTGAATCAGAACGTATTTTCTCAGGAACGGCCGCTTTTCCGCGTATTTCACTATAGTTTTTGACAATGGTTGCGTGATTTGTCTTACGAGCTGTCCGAGGAGATTTGCAACGGGAAATTTGTCTAGCACCATAGTTGCATATACTTGTCTCATAAAGACGATAATTTAAATTTTCCTTTGAACACCATTTCTGAATAATTAATTTTTCAATCGTTGAATAATTATTAGAAGTAACAACGTTAATTCATCTCGTTAACATTTTGACGTAAAGCAGATTGGGTTAAGTTGTTCGTTTCTATATTATATGAAAGTTTGGTTATGATTGACAGCTTCTAACATTTACTTATTTGTTGTAATAATTAAGACTTTTAGTTTTATCCACTCTTAAAAAAGGCATGAAAGATCGATACTCGAATGTATCGAAAGTATTGTTGACGCTTTTCCGCGACGCTGATTGGTTATCGCGATTATTCTGACAGTTTGATACTTTGAGAGCGAAGGTTATTTTGACGGTTATTTAAAATAAAAAGATTTTATTAAAATATTTAGATTTCATAATTATTAAATTACTATAATAAGTGCGCGCGCGTAGCATTGTTCTAGTATTGTTCTAGTTAAAGTAAAAATAAGGTTGTAATAGTGTAGCCTCATCAGTTCCCGATAGGGACATTGCGTTTACAAACATCTAAGGTCCCTATCGGGTGTACTAATCAGGACCCGATCACTCTTGCCTGATCAGTTCCTTATCGGGACCTTATTTGGGGTCTTATTAATATTTCCACTCGGAATTTGAGTGGAAATATTAATAAGACCTCAATAAGGAACTGATCAGTCAAGGCCTCACTTAGTGATCAGGTCCTGATGAGTATACCCGATCGGAACCTGAGATGTTTAGTAACCCAATGCCCCTATCGGGAACCGATCGAGCTGCCCTATTACAACCTTACTTTTATTTAATCAAGATCCTTATCGGGTGATTATGAGGTTTATTAATTATTATTATTTTTATGAGGCAGCTAAAGGATTCACTACAGTAAAATTAGTACCTGGAAAAAAAAATAAAATAACAACTTATATAATTGTAGTAAGGTATGTTTCTTTATTGTTTTTTTTTAATATTGTTTTTGGTAATATTTTTGTGATATTTCACATATTATCTCGCATTATAATGTATTATCATCAAGAAAAGAAATTCAAGACTCAAGTTATTTAATAATGTAAAGTATTGAGATGGCACGTACCAAAAACATCGCAACACGATGATAGAATAAAATTTAATAATCTGTATTTTGTTTAGCCTCGTTATGTATTACATACTATATATCAATATGCTATGTTAAATAAAAATATATAAACTTTATCGAAATTATTTGTATATGCACATTTTCTGACGTAATATTTAATAATTATAATAATGATATTATAATATTTAATAATTTAATAATTAATAAGCCTATACCTCATAACCACCTCATAAGAATCACTCGATCCACTCTTAAAAAAGGCATGAAAGATACTCGATACTCGAATGTATCGAAAGTATTGTTGAGACTTTTCCGCGACGTTGATTGGTTTTCGTGATTATTCTGATAGTTTGATAGATTGAGAACGAAGGTTATTTTGACGGTTATTTAAAATTAAAAAAATTTATTAAAATATTTAGATTTTATAATTATTAAATTACTATAATAAGTGCGCGCGCTTGTATTGTTCTAGTCCTTTAAAAACTATTATTTTTTTAAATTTTATTTATTTTTTATTTAATTTACAAAAATGTACGCAATTGTATACAAGATTCTTCTTCGAATTAATACATTTACTTAAAATTGTGCATTTTAAAAATAAGTTTGCTGATTTTTAATTCAGAAAATTGTGAACTCCAATTGCAGAACAAATTTTTACGATATAATAAATTTTATCCACAAACATGACAATGTAGTTGTGATAATGATAATGTAGATAAGACTAAAAAGTTTACATACAACAAACGTATAATGTCATGTAATTGACAATCTACTCAATTATATCTGCGCAATCTTCAAAAGTTGAAAAGTGTAACGGGTGAATACCTCCAAAAGTGTTCGAGATATCATTTTAAATCTCTACGTTTCATGCAGAGATCTAAAAAGTATGTGTGTACCTTTCATATCGGTCAAATGGCTAAACGGATTACATCCATCTATATGTCAAAAAATCACGGAGTTGACCCAGTTGAACGATGAACAATTGCAGGCCACTATCACTTTTGATTCGAAAATCATAGCTTTTTTGAAAGCTCATCAAAATGAAGGGTCTCTCATCAAACATGTAAAATACATTTTAAATAATAGAGAAACAGGATTATTAATTTTATTCTGTTGATCATTTATAAATTATTTAAAATTATGTAAAACACTTAATATTAAAAAAAAAAGAAATTTTTTAAAATCAAAAAATTTTTTAAGATTATCACAATTAAATAGTAATATTGACTAGTGTGAATTAATTTTATATTTTTAATTTGCGCTGCGAATGTATGTCATGTCATAATATATTTTTTATGGGGTGAAAAATTGTTTGAATTGAAGAGAAATAGGCATATATGTAATATTAGCCACTATCGCCACCCAGAATCACTTGTAACTCATTTTTCTATATTATTATTTATCAATTTAGAATATCTTGATTACTGTTTTTTTTATTCTTTTATGTTCCTACAACGTAGGATAGTGTTTACTTATCTTTTTTTAAAAGCATACTTTAGATTTGCGATACTAGATATTGATCTATATATATAAGATAAACATGAGACGACGCGGGACTTTAAAGAACGATTCACTCACTATACATAGGCCGAGAATTTGTTTCGTTGTCAGGGCAACGTTTTTCCCCTTGTTTGATATATTTTCCCTATCTTTTTCCCTTGTGTTTCTATATCATCTGACTGGGTTTAGCAGCAAAATCGAGTTCACTGGAATGACGTAATCGAAATATAAGCTTATCCTTTGCCGAAATCCATTAGATTGACGCAAAGATACGAATCATACGCAATCTTACAAGAAAGTCTCAAAATTTTTTTGTCGCCTTACGTGCTAATCTTCTTCAAAATATAGTTTTATAATCTTATAAACTATATGTGATAGAATTTTTGAAGGAAATGTTTGATCAAGTTCAATGGATCAAGTTTCAATAATAAAATCCAATTACGACTTCTTTGCATATTAAAACCATCTTATTTTAAAAATTTTTAGAAATTGAGTTTTACCTTTTAAACAGGATTTTTATATAGTCGATTTATTTCGTGAAAAAAAAAAAAAATACATGCAGCTCTGATTAGCATATGCATCAGATGCTTTTGATCAGATAAGATCATATGAAACATTAATTATTTTACATAAATTATATATCGATGTCGAAACATAATATTATTACGTGGTTGAGTTTAGTTAGGAGAAATTTCTCGGTTTTATATTTGGGGAATACAAATGTCGGATTCTGTCTTTGATGCGATATCTTCGATACGAATCGGTCTTCCGGGACAAATCTCAATTTTGGCGCTCCATTTCTTTTTCGACTTACGACTTTCAGCCTTTCCCAAGTCGGCCGACTAGATGCACGATTTCATAGTCGTCTCGACTGTCCCCTGGGGCGTCCTTTCACTTTTACCCCACGATCGATCTGACCTACGCCCCTATGCACGGCTATTTGCAGGGCCCGCGTGCGGGATGGAAAAGAAGAATCTGTATATGCACGTGTGCACTGCTCCGTGACATTTCAAAGTTCATAGTTCATTACGGGGGTGATGATGAGCAATGCCGATTTTCACTCACGATTGGATAATGAAATAATCACTTTAAGTAATACAGATGATGAGGTACTCTAAAGATAAATTTTTGCATTATAATAATGCATTGTTCAAAAAATAATTCTTTGACTCCAAAATATTTTTTTGACGAATTAGTAGCATTTTTTTGATGAATTAATAGTGCATATTGAAATGTTATTCATAATTGCTAAATATTTCAAATTTTAAGTTTTTTAAAGGAAATAATATTTTCTGCAGGATAGTAGAAAATACCTGAAGCTTGTTTTGCACGTGATGTGCTTGATCTAATTATTGCATTTGCATATTTGAATTTTACAGTTAATTTCAGCTCTCTATATGGTAATATTATTTCGTGAGTAATTTACTGCACGGAAATAAAAAGAAATAACCGTTCCGTAATAAAAGAAAATTTTTGCAAAGATGATTATACATAATAATAATTATACATATAAAATTTTTTAATTAAATGCAATAATTACCGAATATGCACTTCGTTTGATCGTTCATATTAAGCACACTGTTGTCTTCATCATCGCCTCGATTTCAGCTATCTGCCGTCTAGAATCTGCATTCGAGAGCATCACATAACAGCCGCCATTAAAAGTGTCGATACGCAATTTCCTGCGAAAACACGTCGCCGATGCCGGCGCCGCGCGTTAGGAAAATCGGTGAGGAAATATCGGAAAATGTCGGCGAGGTCGGCAGGTGGTGTAGGCGAGGAGGCAGGACAGTGGAATGGAAGGACGCTTGTTCCAGGAGCACTTCTCTTATCCATCGTGACCGCGTGGAAGGCAAAGAAAAAAAAGTTGCCTATTTATAAACCATTAGCGGAGAATGAAGTTTAATCAGGCTCACGCGCGCGACACCCCTCACTCTACCTCTATTTATTGCTTCTCCGTTGATCAATACGTTAAATGTTAGGATACCATCATCGCTGCTTCATTTGAGCCGGAGAGGATTTCGGTTGATTGCCAATAAAAGTGGGAGTTAAGTTAGTAACGTCCTTTCATAATATGTCATCACGTTCATTCTGTTTTTATTTCTTCCGTTCTACATTTCGTCGTAACAATATAGATTTCAGACTAATTCTCGCGATAAATAATTAATTGATTAATCAGTTACTTGTTAACAACAATTACAGTTGAACTTAAAACAGAAGAGGTATTAAATATCTATTTCTGTACGTGGATATTTTGGGGAGACACTATCTTAGTCTCAACTTATAAACCCTTTGTGGCTATTTAAAAGAAGGGAGAGGAATGCCAGAGGTCCTTTTACTGCTAAATATACCCGACACTTCCCCCATATATTGAGAGTATATTCTACA